GTTTACAAAAGCATGGGTACTTAGATTTGCATAGAATATAGTTGGTCAGTTCCTACTAAATTAAATTTAAGAGAGTGATTATATTGTAAATACCTGTTTAATAAAACTTAGCATATTTGTGTAGTCTTTTCTTGGATTCCTCTGTTAAATATTGGTAGATATATTACATCCAAATGATGATAATTTTTTGACTCTTTACCTACCTCCTAGGGGAGAGTGCTTGTTAAATATATCCTACACTTGGTTTTATAAACTTGCATGTTAGATATATTACCAATACCTCTGTGGTGAATAAATGTTCTACTGATCAAATGTAAAAATTCACAGCTGCTCCTCCATAGCCCACAGCTTTCTCATATTTTTCCTGTCATTGCTAAGTCTAATTGTTTGCACATTAGCTTTTAATATAAAACCAGCCAGATACAGCCAAGTAAGATTTAATAATAATGGTTGGATTTATAAGCCCTTCAAGAGCCAGGAAGCTCTATGGCATTCATATTCCCTGAATTGTGTAAATGTGGATCCTGGGAATGATTGCAGGATATGTAGTAAGTTGATGGCAAATCTGGACAACAATGGCATTTTATATGCCTATAATTTTTACAATTCTCAAAACACTTTCCCCAAATTATCTTATCATATCCTTATGATAACTCTAGGAATTAAGTAGTACAGGCATTATTTTTTAATCTTCTTTCTTTTCACAGAAGTGTAACTTTAGGAATAGAGAGTCTGCAAGACTTAACCAAAGTCACAAGTTTAGCAAGAGAACTAACTAGTAGAAAATCATAATCTCCTTGGGAATAGCCGCTATTCCCTTCAAATATTTTCCCAATTCTACTATGGGCCAAACATTATTTTAGGGATACCACAGTGACTCAAACAGACTGTCTGTTCTTTTATAGCTCTATATTCTAAGGAGGAAGGTAGACAATAAACACATTAATAATAGAATACGTACTAAAATTTCCTATAATAATAAATGTTATAAAAATTAAAGTACAGTAGTGGGGTGAATGCACAATAGCAGAGGTGATAGAATAATCAGGGACAGACTGTCTGATGATAATAACGTAAAAACCTAAATGAGGGGAATGAAAAAGCAATCGAAGAATCTGCAGGAACAACATTTTAGGCAAAGAGAACAGCATTCATACATGGGGAGGAAAGCATCTGAGGTATATTGGACAATATATTGGATTACTGAGATTGTGGAGAGTGGAAAAGAGGAGGCCAGAAAGTCAGCAGACAGGTGATTCAGGTAAGGTCCTTGGATTTTATTATCAGGTGTGTTTGGGAAGTCATTGCATTGTTTTAGCAGGGAGGGATTTTTTTTTTTTTTTTGAGAGAGAGAGAGAGAGTGTGATCAGGGGTGGGGGAGGGCAGAGGGAGAGGGAGAGAGAGTCTTTTTTTTTTTATTTTTTTATTGTTATGTTAATCACCATACATTACATCATTAGTTTTTGGTGTAGTGTTCCATGATTCATTGTTCATAACACCCAGCGCTCCATGCAGAACGTGCCCTCCTCAATACCCATCACCAGGCTAACCCATCCCCCTCCCCCCCTCCCCTCTAGAACCCTCAGTTTGTTTTTCAGAGTCCATCATCGAGGGAGAGAGAGTCTTAAGCACGGGGCTTGATCTCATGAGCCTGAGTTTGTGACCTGAGCCAAAATCAAGAGTTGGACACTTAACTGACTGAGCCACCAAGGCACCCCGATTTTCACATCATTTTATAAAATCAAAACTAATTTAAAACTGTCTTTTATGAAGGAAAAGTATGGTCTTTAGAACCAGCTCCACATTCAAATCTTGACTGCATTTTTATATGTCATGCAGTGTCCTGGAATCCACTTTATTCACTGGGAAATGGATGAATAATGAGTATTTTAGAAGATAAGTAAAACACATGAATTTATAACATATGTAACAGTCATTGTTTTTTTTTAATGAAGTAGCATTAGTTTAGAAAATGCCTATTAAAATTAGGTTTTATTGGTTGAATATAGGCTCTCTCTCTCTATATATATATATCTTTATATGTATATAATGATTAACTACCCTGGATGTTTATTTTTTAAGTAACTATTTTGAAATATAGATGGAGAAAGGGCAAGCTAAATAAGCTTGTACTTTATATTTTGGTCTTTAAATTTTAAATAAAATGGAAAATCTTATGCTGTAGAAAACATAACATTATACCAGATGGCAGTTGCATATAGGTGCTTCTCTGGAAAACAGAAAGATAAAATGCATATTAATAATGCAAATTCTCCAAGAGAAAAACCTGCATTTGCTCCTTTAGATAGTCAGTGTATTTGGTTATGAACTTATACACATCTGGACATTTTTTAAAGATCATTAATAAAGAGATAGCAAGAGATGACATCAGTGGGAGGTGGCATTTATAAAAGGTTTTAGAAGATAATGGAAAAGTCCCGAGCATAGAGTTAGGTTTTTCACAATTTTTAAATGTTAATGAGTATTCCAGACTTTACTCATGTTGTTCTGCAAAGATATTGGTTCACTTTCTGAAGTCTTCCTCTCCTATCAAAAAATGTAAAAATGACCTTCTTGAAAAAGAAAAGATTGCTCCCCTAAATCAATATCAGCAAAGACAAATACCTTGGAAGATACATACAATTCTCCCTGGGCTAAAAGTTTTATAGACAAATGCAGGTTTATTTTAGAAGATAAAGAGAAACAAGTTTTTTTTTTAAGAGAAATAATTTTTATGTGTGCAAGTATTTATGAGCCCAGATGAGCGAAAGTTCATAGTGAGAACCATTATTCAGAGAAAAAAAAAGGCCTGGGCTTTTTACAAAACAAGATAACTTCGTTGTATATAAGATATGTCATGCAACTGCATTCTAAGAGTGTTTTATACAGTTAAATTACATAAGACCTTGGGTAGTACATGTATATTATGTGATACAAATTATAGAAGTGTGTAAATATATTGTGTTGTGACAAAATGAAATAGTCAATCACAAAAGAGCTAAGGAAGAAGGAAAGTCAGAATTATAGGCAAAAGTCGGAAATACAAGGGGGGTATTTTATATAGTATCTACAGTCAGAGAAAGAATGCCCTGTTGTAAAGATAGAATAAAAGAAATATCCAGATAGCAAACTGGATAGACGACTAAAAAAAAAAAAAAATGACAGAAAAGCAAAATAACAGACTTGGATAGTCCACTTTACTGAGCAGTTTTCAGAAGTTGGCTCAAACTTCAGTACAGTCATTCGGCTTCAAACACATTAACAAGGATCAAAAGAGAAAATCTCAGCAATTAGATTCACAGGTCTGTGGATTAGAAACTCAATTGGTGGTGCTGGAATAAAGCCAAGGATCTCTGGAGGAGGTGCCTAGAAGGGCCATGTTTGTGGGGTAAAGAGAGTGTGGGTAGTAGAGAATTAGTAATTCTGTAGAAAGATGAGGAGTTACCATAAAACACAAAACTTGAAGCCAAGGGCTTGGATGGGACTTCTAAGGACGTAGACTGAGCCTGAAAAAAAATTGGTTCTTAGTTGGGTTTTAGTTTTCAGTAAACTGACAACTGAGAGCATAGAGAGAAGAGGAAACAAATACACATCCTGATGACAAAATTTGATCCAAATATTCTGCTAGTTATTTAACTAGACCTGGGATACCCTCAATCTCATCTTTTGAGTAGGACATATTGGTCATATGTGGTATTTACACTAAACAGGAGGTAAAGTGTAGTATTTAATTGCTTCCAGTGAAAGAATTTAAGGTAGTATATTCAGGAGAGGCTCTTCTGGTCAGCAATGCCTCATCACAAGAAAGAGAAAACAAAAAAAAACAACAACACAACCAACCACTACTTTTGAAAGAGACACCAGGTAAAATTATGAAATAGCTTACATTTTTTTAATCTAAATATTGAGGAAATCGAAAGTGTAATGACAGTTTGAAGAGTAGACTTTGAGTTTTAATCAAAACTACACAAATCAATAATATATTTTGTCCTGACTTGACGAACCTACCTTTTGTCAATAAAATTATAAGAAGAAGAAGGAAGAAACAGACCATTCATTTAAATGAACAGCAATTAGCCCTTCTCTATCCAGTTCTATCTTGGGGGAAAATCTAAGGAGAATATAAGAAGAATTTGTGTTTTGGACCAAGAAGAAAAAAAAAGTAGTCACAAAGGGCTTATTTGAATTTACGTGTTAGACATACGGAATTATTTCACACTGCTGCCCCATTTATTCTCTGACAAAATGGTTGGAATCAATGGTAGGAGCTGAATCATGTGATATCTAGTCTATTCTGGCATCATGTTTTAGAAGAAAACCACTAGAATCCTATCAAAACCTTGGCTCTCCTGCATTTACCATTATCCCCAGAAGATTGGAATTATTTGGCATGAAGGAGACTCAAACAAGAATCCAAGGTTGCTGTAGAGGGTAAACTTCAAATGCTACTATGTGATTTATTTCTGGACAGGGAGATCAGTTACCCAGCCTAGGAAGCTGCAAAATTTGGACAAAGAAATGAGAGAAAAACAAATTAAAAAAACCCACATAAACAAACGAAAAAAATCTCACTCAAACTGAACTTGAAATCCAAATTCCAAATTTTATAAGTGGATCCAATGTTAACAAAAACACCCTATACAATCAAGGATTAGAACATAAATTTACTCTAAAAAAAACTACATAGAACTTAAAAAACTTAATCTAATAAACTCAGTACAGAGAGACACATTGTAGGTGGATTCCACTCTGGCTTGAACATAGTCTGAAAGAAGTGGTGAATTTCAAAAAGTACTTGATGTATCCCTTCCCCCTCAAAAAATCAAGAGTGATAAAGATATATATTTTTAAAGATTTTATTTATTTATTTGTCAGAGAGAGAGAAAGAGCACAAGCAGGGGGGAGCAGGAGAAGCAGGCTCTTTGCTCAGCAAGGAGCCCGATGTCGGACTCGATCCCAGGACCCTGGCATCATGACCTGAACGGAAGGCAGACACTTAACTAATGGAGCCACCCAGGCGTTCTGCAAGTCCTGCCCACGCAGAGACAGTAATCACGCATCATGCAAGCCCCAATCATCATGTTCCGATCTGCCCTCCCGAAGGAGGAACAGGTAAGGATTATCCTACATGACGATCGCCACCCAGGCATTCTGATAAAGACATGTTTTTTAAGAAAACAAGGGACAGACTTCATATTCCATTTACAACTAAAAAAAGTCACAAACAATATTTGTATATAAAGCAGCAATATTTGTATCAACAATATAATTTGTAGAGGAAATAAAATAGAACAATACTTGAAAGAACATATGCAAAATTTAAGAAAGACAGCAATCCATAGATTGAATAGCTGAGAAATAAGCAGGGTTAATATAAACTTACAACCACACATTTTAGAGTAAATTTGGATGTCATGACTGATAGAGAGAAGCTATTAAAACCATTTGAAAGAAAGGAGAGATTATGTGCAAAGAATTAAATCAGGGTAACCACAGATTTCCCACTGAAAAAGCTAAGAGAACATAGTTCCACAATTACATACCATCCAAACTGCCACTCAGCACTGAGCAAAATACTGAGACACAAAAATAAGAGAGTTAATACCCTCTGACCCAAACTAAAAGAACTGATAAATGAGAAGATTGAAAACAGAGAGAGAGAGAGAGAGAGAGAGAGAAAATGGTAGAAGAAACACTATAGAGGGACACCTGGGTGGCTCCGTGGGTTAAGCAACTGACTCTTGATTTCAGTTCAGGTCGTGATCTCAAGTTCCTGAGATCAAGTCCCACATCAGTGCAGTGACATTAAAAAGAAGCGACCATAGCAAAAAATATGTTTGAAGACATAAATGTATACTAAATACCTCAAGGGTGCTAAAGGAAACTGCAATGACAATTGCAAAATATATACAAAGTAGAACAAAACTAAAGTGAAATACATCAAAGCTTGTGAAAAACAGCTAATCTAGTAATTAGTGGCAAATTTATAACTTTAAATGCACAAAATTTGAAAAACAAAGTAAGAGAGGTAAAAGAACAAAAGACTACACTTATGGTAGAAACCTAGAAATTATGGTAGCAAGAGTAAAACCTAATGAATAGAAAAACATTAGGAAAGAAAAGATCAATATATTTATTACTTTAACATTACTAATCAAGGAAGAAAGGCCACAGAAAGATTTAGAACAAAAGGGGGATATGAATTTAGAAACAGTAGAGTTCTAAAAGTCATAATACATTAATTTGACAATTTTTCTGTTGAGTTTAACAGTGCAAATACAATGGGTTAATGGAATATTGAGAAAATATAGAAACTATAAAAATGTACTGAAAATAACAGAAAACCTCAATATTCCAAAAAAATGTGAACAAAAATTGACTCTGTAATCATAAGCCTTTTTACTTACAAAAGACACACTCAGCACAGATGACTTTACTGTCAAGGAACATATGTTCCTAATTTTACATAATTTCAGACAATAAATTTAAAAAAAAAAGAAAGCTGTTCAGTTGATGAGGCTAGTATAAGCTCAATAACAAAACCAGACAAGAACTGCAAAGAACACCAGTTTCCCTGAAGAGCTCATGCAAAAATCCAAAATAAAATATTAGCAAATCACGTTCAATATTATAAACATATATATGCATATGTGCAGGCATACCCATAGGCACACATGTAAACTATATTCTAACAAATCAGTGCTTAGTCCCAGGAATGCAAAGCAATGTCAATTTCAGATAAAACTCTTGCTATAACTTGCTGCATAGAGTTTTAAAAGTATGTATGAGCTCACAAGGAAGCAGATGAAGCTTTCAGTAAATTTCAGTACTCAACTCATGATAGAAACAGAAGTGACTTTCAACTAGAAGGAATATTTCCTTTTTTTTTAAAGATTTTATTTACTTGAAAGAGAGAGAGAGAGAAGGAGCAAGGGGAGGGGCAGAAGCAGACCCCCAGCTGAGCAGGGAGCCCAAGCCCTCTGGATCACAGGACCCCCAGATCATGACCTAAGCAGAAGGCAGACGCTTAACTGATTGAGCCACCCAGGTACCCCTGGAAGGGAAATTTTTAACCATCTGAAGAGTATTTACCAGGAACCTACAGTGAATGACATATTTGATGGCTCAGGTAAAAACTAGATTTTATTCATCCTTCTAACGGGAAGTCTCGGACATTGCATTGTAGAGATTAGAAGACAGAAATGATGTAAAAAATATAAATTGTCCCATTTATGATGTTATAAATATCTTAGCAAAACATCCAGGAGGATCAACAAATTAAACTATCAAAATTATTTTAAAAAATTATTGAGTTAAAAAAATTATTGACTATTCTGGAATCAAGATCCACATGAAAACTAATAGTATTCCAATAGTAACAAATAGAAAGTATAAGAGAAAGAAAAAGACTGTATTTATAAAAATAACAAACCTATAAGATGCCCAGGGATAAAGCTTAAAAATATTACTTAATGGATAAATTACCCATAAGTATTGTAAAACATAAAAAAATTATTTTACACAAATAATTAGCTATACTATATCCATGGATGGAAAGAGCCAAAATTAAGTTATCAATGTTCCCTGATTGATCTGTAAATCAGAAATAATAGCATTTTAATGAATTTGATATGTAGATATTACTGTGCATATGGACAAGTAGGGGCAATACCTAATAAATTTTGAAGAAAATGTGGGAAGTGTCTGAAGAGGAAAACCCTATTTTCATCATTTTATAGACCATATGAAAAGCCACAGTTTTATCAAAGCGTGGCTTTGGCAGAATTAAAGACAAGAAGATCAATAATTAGAATTGATTATAACTCCATATAATGTTTATATACATCAGAGGTGACACTGTCAGTTGATGAAGAAGGGTTGCTATGTTCAAATAAAAATGCTGGCACATTCATTGTGGGAGAGTTAGATCTCTATTTTATAGCATAAACAAAAATAATTATAGATTTCACATTGAGATATAAATTTTAAAAATTTGAAATTTTAAATAAAATATATAGTAAAATATTTGGTAACATTGAGTTTGGAAATTCTCTAAACAAGATTTAAGAAATATAAACTATAAGGTAGATAAATCTGACTACATTAAAGTAAAAACATGGAAGTGCAAACTGGTGCAGCCACTCAGGAAAACAGTATGGAGTTTCATCAAAAAATTGAAATAGAGCTACCCTACGACCCAGCAATTGCACTACTAGGGATTTACCCCAAAGACACAAATGTAGTGATCCGAAGCGGTACCTGGACCCCAATGTTTATAGCAGCATGTCCACAATAGCCAAACTATGGAAAGAGCCAAGATGTTCATGGACAGATGAATGGATAACAATACTATTCAACTGTCAATAAAATGAAATCTTGCCATTTGCAATGACGTGGAAGGAACTAAGGGTATTATGCTAAGTGAAATAAGTCGATCAGAGAAAGACAACTATCATATGATCTCACTCAAATGTGGAATTAAAGAAACAAAACAGAGGATCATAGGGAAAAAAGGGGGAAAAAGTAAAACAAGATGAAATCAGAGAGGGAGACAAACCATCAGAGACTCTTAATCATAGGAAACAAACTGAGGGTTCCTAGAGGGGTGGGGGATGTGGGGATGGTAACTGGGTGATGGACTTTAAGGAGGGCACATAATGTAATGAGCACTGGGTATTATATAAGACTGATGAATCGCTGACCTCTACCTCTGAAACTAATAATACGTTATGTGTTAATTAGTTGAATTTAAATAAAAAATGCAGATATGCAGAAAAAATTTTAAAGTCAAAAAAGTAAATAAATCATTCACTACCAAAAAATAAATAAATAAAATAAAGCAGAAACAACCATACCTCTATAGATAGCACAAACAACATTTAAATATACTGTAAACACACTACAAGAATATACTTGCCATCTTTAACCAAAAAAGGATTAATATTCAGATTTTATAATTAACATTCAAAAGTCAAAGATATCGATATATTTGAAAATAAACAAAAGTATATGAATTTGTTAATAACTAAATAGAAAATTTAAAAAGTAGCAAAATATATTAATAGATGCTTAATTTAAATAATTAGAAAGAAGAGAATTAAATAATTAGAAAATAATTAGAAAACACATAAAATAATACTTTATATCTACTGGAGTAAAACCTGTGTACCTCCAAATATTAATGAAAATGTGGAAAAAAGTTTCCTACTTTTTTCATCATCTGGAGCACAATTTGGAAATATCTAATGCATTTTAAAAAGAATATCCTTTACATCAAAATTATACTTTTAAATAGAGATGTCACATAAACATGCAGGAGGAGAATAAATATGTTCCTACAACTTTTTGTAATGGTTAGAAGCTGGAAAAATCCTAAAAATACCCATTAACTGGAGAAGTAGTTACTATATATTATACTATATCCATACAAAGAAACACCATCCAGCAATGAAATTATTTAAACTAGTTATATGTGACATTATAAATAACTCAAACTGAGCACACATTTTACATAAAAAGCAAGCCACCTTATGATTTGTTCAATATAGTAACATTCCTACAAAGTTTCACAAATACAAAATAGCATCATTCTTATTTTTTAAATTTTTTTTAGAGAGAGAGAGCAAGCAGGAGGAGTAGAAAGAGATGGAGAGAGAGAATCTTAAGCAGGCTCCATGCTCAGCACAGAGCCTGACTCAGGGCTCAATCTCAGGATTCTGAGATTGTGACCTGAGCCAAAATCAAGAGTCAGATGCTTAACCAACTAAACCACCCAGATGCCCCGAGCATCATGTCTCTAATGTATACATATATGATGTGATAATATATGAACATGCACAAACTTGGTAAACTTCAAACTTATATAGGTGAAACCCTGTGGGTATTAGATAGCAGTATTCAGTATACTTACCTAGCATCTGTAATATTCTGTCATTAAAAATATGAACTGATTTTAGCAAAATATTAAAATTTGGTGGAATTTTATATGGCAATATGGATAATCTATATATTTTTATATATAAATGTCTTTTTATTTTAGAATAGATTTAAATTTAGAAAAGAAAATCACATAGTACAGAGAATTCCTGAATATCTCATACCCTGTTCCTTTTATTACTAATAACTTACAATGGTA